ATATCATACAAATGGGAGTACCGATTTAATTGTTATATCATCTATACATTATACTGGTCACATAAAACAAAAGACCGTAATAAAAACAGAAAAATCAAAATAATCAAAATAAAATAATAGAAAAATACTTAGGATATACATAAATAGTTTTTCAAAACTTGTCGAAAACAGTTTACTTACCCATAGGAACAGGCTGTTTATCTCTGAAGGTGACTTGGAAGCCTGTGGAAGAGGCTGATGCTACGTGCACTGCGCGTACGCATTTCCCGCGAGCGACTTCCCCAAATACTACTAACATGTCGGACACTCGCGTTGCGTATCCCGCTAGTGTCACTATTTCCTGTTCAGAAAGAAATTTAATTACTCAACATATATACAGACACAATTACTCATTAAACTTCATCGACCCTATTAGACAATAATTTAAAAAAAAAAGTTTTTGTGTCATGAATTAGTGCTGAATTTTGATGTTTAATATTAATGTCAATGCAATACCGCTAATTTTTAATTCAATTAACTGTCAGGACTATATCGATTTGTAATATATTTTAGTTTGTTATTATTTGATAGTTTGATATACATTTCATTTACATATTCACAAAATTTAATTTATTTTTTTCAGATTAATTCTTTTTTATCACTAAAATTTATCAATTAAATTAAAAAATCTGTCAAAAGTTTTTAAAAAGAGAAGAAGGTATCGTATCGCTTACCTGTGATTGGATTAGAGATCTTGATATATAACTATTTCCTTTCTATATACAATATACATATTTAGTGATAGTATATAAATTACCTTATAACTAGACATGAGCCTCTCGATGGCGTCGGCCGCTGAATTCAATAGATTTCTTGATGTCGTCATGTATTCTGTTCTAGCGCTTATACCTTCACCTGCTGTACCTATAATAAAATATCATTTGACCATGCTTGCATGCATTATCTGTATAAAGGTAGGATTCAGACAAGAGTTTGAGCGCTAAGTACGCTTCTCATACGTCGAAAACGTACTGGATTTGACCTACTTAAAATATCCATAACTCAAAAACGAACGCACCGATTTTGATGAAACTAAGATTATCCCTATGCTGGTAATAATAGAGTGGCTAATATACATAATAATTATTGACTTATGAACACTTAGTTTTCGAGAAATTTGGCCGTACAGTACTTATGAAATTTAGAAGCCGAAATAGATTTTTAACATTATACTGAAATATTATGCAAATCTACCAATGAAACACACAAGTGATAAACTTGTCTGAAGTCTGATAAAATAACTTACCATCCAACTTCTTTCCGGTAAGTATGGGAAGCGCCAACATGACCATCCCGGTACCGGACCAAACGTACTTCATGCAGAACTGCTCCAGCATCACATACCACAGCTTCTTATTGAAGACTGAGGTCATTTGAGTGACTAACTCTTTGTAGGCTGATTGGAGCTGGCCCATTTCAACCTAAAAAAAAAACATGTATGAAAACTTGTGCATAAACCAGATCATCAGATTTTTATTATTTTGAATTCTTAGACAGATACATAATTTTAAATATATAGAAAAAATAAATTTAAGCACGAATTAAATTAGTTATTGCAGCTTTTAAAGAAATAAGGTTTAGCAAAAAGGTTTCTTTAGCACTTGCATACAATTTTTTTATATAATTTAATTTTTCATTTAAATTGTTAAGATTTTTGTTTTCTTAAGTGTGTTAAAATACTCCAAGACAGCATGGGCCCACTGAATGTGTTGCTGGTGACAGCAACTGTTGGGCCCATTATTGATTAAAGTGATTGCGTTTGTGTCTTTTTTTTATGTATGCTTTAATCTAATCATTTTTTTTTTCTTCTTTCTAATTCTTTCTTTGAAAGTAAGCAACGGGTATAAACTCGGTTTTATTAAATGCTCAAAATTAGCCGCTGACCCAATCATATATAAGGCAACTGTTTTCAGAGACATACAATGACATTCACTGAAAAGATCGCTTAGAAAGTGTTAAACTGTCTTCATTACCCACTAAAATTACAGATAGGAGACATTTAAATCTTAGTTTACTTTTTTTTGTTTAAAATAATATTTTTGGCAGTTACTGGGCAACAAGCTTTTCTTCCGTAACAGATCTTTAAATCACAAGAAATAACAAAGAGAACCTTTATCTTGTGGTAATGCTAAGTAATTATACATACTTTAATATACAATAAAGTTATTGTTGTATTGTTATAATTATGATTGCATCACACAGCGGCTTCGTACGTCATCTACACGAAATAGATAAATAATAATACAGTTAAAACCGTTTAGTTTACCGGTTATATTGACCAAAATCAAAGGTCCCGGCTGAATTCTATTGTATTAGGTTCTTAATAACAACGTCACCGGCTATTACGACTATCGGTTTTTACGACCAAATATGAGTAGTCCCTTCGATGTCGTACAACAGATTAAGACTGTATATTCATTTTGTACTAGACGCAGAATAAAAAGTTAAAGCGGAATCACTTGAATCTCATTTCAGTTCACATTTCATTCATCGCTATGCAGCTTTATTTTTTATGCTTTATATATTTATGCTTTAAAATATTATGTGTTGTATCCCAAGAGGCAGACTTACATTATGTCCTCCATAAAACGCGACCTCTTCCGCATGAGCTATCAACCTCGAATGAACATGTCTCAGATTCGCCTTCATTCGTGCCTCTTCGCCCGCGAGGGCACCGAACCTTGGACTCAGGATTCGGAGAAGTTGACCAGTCAAGCATATTACCACTGTTGCTATACCGGGTCCTGGAAATGAAAGAAATACATGTAGTGAAATTATTTAAAAAAAAGTCAAAAATCATTTAATCATATAGGTAACACAATGTACACTTATAAACGTCAAAATGTATATGAAATGCTTCTAACTTTACATTTAGTGCCAGTTCTCAAATCAAGGGCGTAGAACGGAAGAGTAGAACTGGCAATACAACGTTTGTAAGGAGCTGCAACCATTACACCATCTTCCACTTGACATCTTAAGTAATTAATAATAATAACATAAATTAAAAACAAAGACTTGTCCTCTATCATAAATATCATATCTAAAAATTAGCTACTACCTAAAAGCTTTTTAAAAAAATATTTAATACGCTAAAAGTTAAAACTTTTGAAAATCTTTAATTAAACTGAAAGCTTAATTTAAGCTGTAAAGTAAAAAAATACGATTAAAAAAAAAAAAATTTCTGTACGTATATTTCTTCTTACCTAAGAATATATTTCCCTTCATCTTGCTTGAATAGCTGGCGAGGGTTAAAACTATGAGGAGTAAATCAAAGCACGGCTTAGTCAGAGAGCTGTATAAGTGAGCTACTGATTGGGCGAACACTGACACATCTTCTGTTAATCTGTGGAGAGAAAATATCCAGTCTTTAGGCGAAATTGTCAATAAAAGAATCTTTTCGGTGTGTTTTCTACCAAGTGAATACCCTGGGATTATAATTAATAAAACACAAGGAGATTTCAGTTTGGAACCTTCAAGAGAGTCTAGTAAGAATCCACCAAAGTACATAAGCACTTATAATAAATAAACGGTTTTAGCTTACATACGTAAGTAGTACTTATGCTGACGCAATCCCACTTCTTGATACAACTAGACGTAAAGAGAACTAAACCTTTTGAGTTAATAAACCTAGTGTAGTGAATATAAGTACAAGTACAGCATCTCGGACACACGAACATAGTGTCAAAACATTATAGAACACTAAAACTGTTAATGAACATTACTTTAGTTTAAGCTATTTATTAGTATTATAGAAAATTAAGTCAACACAGCCCCAACATCTTTTAGTCGATACCAACTCCGGGGAAATAAATACAGATAACACAACTTTTTCTACAGCTGTGATACTTTTTGAAATTCAACACCTTTTGTCTTCAGTCACCGTGACCACGCACGCTGTAAAGCACGCGAAACGTCAGTTAAATTTAAAATTATGTAAAATAATTGTAAATTTATAATAAAACATAACTTAAATCCGTTAAAAAACACAATATTACTTATTAGCCATAATATAACGCATTCTCTTTTGTGAAATTTATTCTAGGAAAAAAGTATTTATTAGTCAAAACATACCTATGGTCAGCATTTTCTATCCTAGCGTCCAAGTTAGCCACTCTATAGTACGTCTGGTTTTTGAAGTAGAGCTCATAGGCGTGATTCACTAGCCTCGTTCTGAAGGCGAGAGCTAGTCTTCCCTCCAAGTATCTGATCATGGAATTTATAAACGTTGCTGGCACGGCAATACCGAACCATTGTAAGAGCAATGCTGCGAATGCCTTCATGTCTTTTTGGACTATGTGTTTTACTGGAAAATAAGGTTTTAAACGTATACTTTCAACATCACAAAATATATGTGGATTGATGTCTAATAGGATTGCGTAGTGAAGCCGTACCACGAAGGTTTTTTTTATAATACAGTCTGAAATCAACATTAAAAAAGTGAATATTTTTTAGGGAATATCTTATTTTATTAGTTATAGAGGCTCTATCTTAACCGGAAAAACATTCAATACATGGTTCAACCGTAATTTTTCTAAAAGGTATCCAGAACCTTCCGCATTGCATGAAACAAAGTTCTGATAAACAAATTGATATAAATTTAATTCAAATAAGTAGACGGCATATCATGACTAAAAATAAATTTACACGTCTGATATAAATATACATCAAGGAGTGTAAATACCATAGCTTTTTATAACCTCATTATAATATTTAGATCTTCAATATAAAATATTAATTATTCATTGGGTTTCCTCAAGGCTATTTAAATACGTTCACAACATTTTTTGTGCCAATTTCTGGGAAAAACTAATTTAGCTTACAATTGGAGATTCCTATCATAAATTGTTTAATTAACGAAAATCATATAACATTTCCACAACGGGAAAATTAACCTGATCTCCCGTAGATTTTATGTATTTATTTTTTTAGGATATATAAAAAAAATTCACTTGTCACTGTGCATATAACCATTATTATAAAATAAATAGGTACAGATTATATAGAACTTACCTATAGAACCTTCCAATGACGCGACGTATATAGACAAGAACGTTCGCGAGAAGAGGCACAGAGTATGAACAGAGAGCAGGGCGACTTCATGACTCCGGAATCCCGGTACCATGATCTTCGCCAAAGACACTATTTGTCTGAGAAACTCCAGATTCAGACCAGGGACATGCTCTTCTACTGTTTGGGACTGTGTCTCGTCCGCATCTTCCTGAAAGGCAAATAATAATTTATTATTAAATTTTCAGCAGCGTTTCACAGAAAGGAAAAACGTATGCTTTTCGTAGTTATAAAATAATATGAATTGTCCATGCGAACTTTGATCAAGATTTAGCAAATTTCCACCAGGATTTCACAGAGAGGAAAACAATGGAATGCTTTTAATATAGAATTTGAAAAAATCTTTTAAAACTAATATGTCGATGCAAAGTTTGTACACGATTTAGTCAAATTGGACCTTGATTTTACCACAAAAATAAAGGAACCTTTTATCGCCTTCATTTGACAACAACGCGCAAATTGCATTCTAAAATACAATTAGCACAACGTATTTTTAAAAGTAATTTATAACATCTATTTTTTTATAAACAAACTCAAGACAAAGGATATTAAAAAATCATTATAGTCAGGTGGGGTAAATGCATGAACGGGGCAAATGTAATACCATAACTTTAACTGTTTACACACAAAATAAACTAGTGCTGGCATCTCTTATACACGTAAAGTACTTCTTGCACTACACTCTGACAACTTATTGAATCTGATGGATTGACAGATTTTCACCAATCTCGTTGCAATAAAAACCAAAGTATATTTCAATTTGCGTATTTTATTGCTATTACCCCAGATTAGTAACTATCTACACTATTAGAATTTTAACATATTTTTTTACATTTACCCCTTTACACCGGGAAAATGCAATAGAGAGTTAATCTGTTATCATCCATAATTAAATATAAGTAATTACATCAAGCAAAAGCCTAAAACATGTTTAATATTTAAAGTAAAAATTATTTGTAAATTGTAAAAGACCACAAAATAACAAGTCAATCTAGTTATGGTACTCGCATTTACCCCACCTGACCCTACATCATATCAAAATAATGTTGACTGCATTCCACTGGATAGTGTGGACCAATTTTACCATGTAATAGAGGCCTGTAAAACACGGAGGGCTTTTAACTTCATTGCAATGTGGACAAGAAATGACGAACGGAGCGCGTGATAAGAGGCTGGATCTATAACCAAATTTCCAATTCTGACACCAAACTGTTTCATAATCTACTATTTTGGCGTAGAACTAAATAAAAACCTTAGAATATAAGTATGCTTACAATATTCTGCTTGTTATCGGTATCAACTTCCCCCCCGACAGAGGGCGCACTGTTCCGCACCACAGTGCCCGCCACACGTCTGACTTTCGACGCCGCCATTTTCCACTGTGTGTAATTTTCCATTTTTTGCTACCTGAAATTTACAAATTATGAAGTATGACTTCCATATCTTTATGTATACATTAGGAGCAACAAAATATTTAAAATTTTCGGATCATTGTTCTATCATACACGCACGCATGATGCACGTGAAACTGAATAAACTATATTCTTATATGCGTAAGAGTGTCCATGTGTTGATAAGAAATTATTTATACATTTAAACGATACTCAAAACAAATATTATTTGTTAGAGAACACAATGTTTTTGTTTAACTTGTATCTCAATTTTTTACAATCGATTCAATTGTTTAATCATAAACTTCAGATGTTATTTACTTGAAGCTCAAAAGCTCTTTATTCGCGTTGTGTTAAGATGCCGTGAATATATGAGGCAAAAACGCGTTTCCGTATTTCTAACTTGTTAGCCATAGAAATAACACAATTTTAAATATTTTTTTAATCTCTTCATAAACATTATATCAAAGATAACAGAGACAGCCTATCCAAGGGTCTTAGGTCATTAAGTCATGTAAGTTACAATTAGATGCTATTCCTATACCAAAAATCATCACATGCAATTATTGTTCTGTAATTTATGTCCAAATGACGTAACAATATATTTTGCATCGAATAAGGCATCAACACGTGCACGCCACACATTTTTGTTCAACGGAGCGCAACCACAGACTCGCATTAGCCTTGCTCAATTGCGTAATGTTTATGATTTAAATGAAAGGTTACTGAGGATTTTTAATCTACATTTTTAGTTGAAGGATTTATTGTCACGATAGAGGTACAGGAATTAGCACGCAAAGGTAGAAATAAAAATTGTCTTTGGTTTACGAGAGTATTACACATTTCTATAAAACATTTGTTTACCCATCTCGCTCACAACTAGTTGGTTTTTTAAATTTCGAACTCGCGCAAATGTCTTTTTAACCTGTTTTGTGAGACAGGATTTTTCGAGCCCTTTTCATTTTTAAAAACTTGATTTCTTGAAAAATTACGACTAAAGACGCTTTAAGATAATTTCACATAATTTGAAAACCACATCTGAGCCATCGAAAATAAAAGCATGAAACTGAAAATGCACCGTTTCTAACTTGGCGGATGAGGACACGTTTTAATTGTCTAGACATTCGTAAGTTATAATACATTAATATAGATTGTCAAGGTTATATATTAACATATACCCACCCATGCGAATTAAATCTTTGACTCCTGCTGTTTTCAAAAGTAAGACGGTCTTTGGAATCTGACATTTGACTTAAGGGTAAAAGATGGGTTTTGGAATATTTAACAAAGTTGATTTATTACTGATTGTGTAAGAAAATATTTATAGACATTTTATGTTCCTTTTTATTAAATACGTTGGTAAATAATCTTACTGCACAATAAACTATAGTTAAATGAACATAAATGATTAATAAATACATTTAAAAAGTATGCATTTTTCAGTTTCTCCACAACGTCTGATGTAAATGAAGAAACACATATTAATTACATAATATATTACACTTATTTAGGAAGTCAAGATTAGTGAAACGATTTTGAAAATATTGTACTAAAACATGTTTATATTTGTAGCATTGTGTCTGTCTGTGTGTGTACAAAGTTTCCCAAATTAAAAGATTTTGAATTTTCATACAAGATGTAAATAAGGAAATAATATTACCGGTGAAGCCTTCGATCACTGATGACATTGAACTTAAGTCCCTTGAAGGTTTGCATTGTTATATGCGGTTTACGCATAAACATTGTATTCTTTACATTATCGCGTGAGGCCATAATTATACTAGATGTATTAATCAGAGGCAGTTAGATAATCAGTTTAAAAAAAAGTTCTATTTAAACCCTTTGTTGTCTCTTAATAGTAGTGACACCCTCATGGGACTAACTACCTAAGCCTACTTTTAGCCTTTCCGAAAATTTATTATTTCGCGAGGAATCGATCAGCTATCAAAATTATTTAGCGAAGCTGCAGGAGGCCTTTTCGTAGAACTGTTAAGTTATTAGGTTCACCTTTTCATATGGTGGTGTTTCCCAAGGTACCACACTGACTTCACAAATATTCTCACATTCAGTTCAGTGAGCACTAGCAGTAACTAGCAGACTGTTTACACTTTGTATGACTAACAAGCTTGGTAACTCAGCCTATCAGACCATATTAGAATAAAAAAAATATGACTCATTAACTGTGATTAAATATAATTACAATTAAACTTAAAATTATTAAAAATTTAAAATCGTTTTTTGAGTGAATTAGTGACTAACCGGATGACTAAACGTTTCAGTTTTTATTAATCCGATTATGATAAATTTTGTACAGAAGATTTTTGTTAAGAGATTAATTTGCCCCAATGGATCAAATCAGTTACCGGTTTATGGGCGAAACCTATTATTAATAAGACAATACTTAAGAATCATTAAACTGATGAAGTATGAATATTTACTTAAGATAATTTGTAAGTGGATAAAAATAGTACACAAGAACAGAGTGTCTTCCCTTTAATAGAGACTGTAGGTAGTGTTGGACACTTTCTTATGTCAAATATCCTTTTTAGTAAATTAGATAATTTTAAATGACTTATTATCTTAAGTTAGGCTAAATCGTAATTTTAAATTGTATAATGCAAAGACAATTTATGAAAAAAAACAACTAGATATTTTATCTTTCTAAATTCTCTTTTACTAGACTGTACATTAGATTTGTTTTTATCAATATGATAAACGGCTAATTTATAATAAACACTATCAATAACATTTAATCTCAATCTTATCTTGTTTCATGGTTGCTTAATATTCCCACATGTTTTTTCCTCAATTGTTAATACAAAAATCGTACTAATAAAAAAATCATCGACCTCAGATGGTTTATACAATTTTCATTTGTTTTTAATCTGTACCTTAGTAGTCTATGGTATCTCGAGTACACATTAAAAAACCTTACTAAATGCGAATTTTTGTCATTACTCTTCGAGAGAGATTATTTTTAGTTTCGTGTTGTAGACGGCTTAATGTAATCATTTCTTGTTTCCTAGAAATTGATAGGATACCCGTGTATCACGAAATATATCAACAGTGCTAAATTGAGCAAGCAACAGAGCTTCCAGTTATGTGTGACTTCTATCAAAAACGTATAGATTTTGGATGGAAAATTATAGACCCTAGATATTACTATGAGAGTCTCTGGTAGATGCTAGTGAACATAATACATTCGCGTCTTATCGCGTCATTAAAACAGTAAATAATATAATAAACGAAATAAAGAAAGTAGGATTATGACATAAGAATCTAGACTAGGTTAGGTAATCTAGAACTCGCAATGAAAAATAATAAAAATAATTCCTCACCTTATAATTATTATTATTATGACATGGTGGAGGCTGCTTCTTATCCCTAGTGCCGTAGAGTGCGCATGCGGCTAAAGCAACTCCAACTCCAACACCAACAGCTAGTGTCGCTGTCGGCTGGACCCTGAACGCTTGCTCACGGATTTTCGTCAAAATCGCTGGCATCTTGATTTATTTTTTCGAGATTGTTCACTGTTTATGTTGTGTTTAGTTGTGATCTTGGGTCCATGATTCTGAAATTAGATGAATATTATAAGCAATGAAGCTGTAGAAAATTACTAAAGACCTGTGATAGGTATAAGATATACCTGTGTATAGAAAAACAATTCAGTCTGTATTGGTATTGTAAAGTAAGTATGACTTTATTGAGGTACTGGGAATATGCTTGTAAGAAGTATTAAAAAATCCATAGCGCTAAATCACCTGCATCATGAACACACCCCACATATACACCTTCGCGTACATACCCTCACTTTCACGCAGCACAGGCGAATTAGGTAATTCGTATTTAATAATTTTTATTGATTTTTTCCTTTCGTAAATATTGGAACCTTTTTGTATATTTTATGTATTCCATCTTTGGCAATATGTTTAGTATAATTATTTTTGTTGTATATAATTTATGTTAGCTGTAGGATTACGAAATAAATAAATAACATAAACATAAGATTTCTGTAAGTCGTATCGCCTTAGCAATGTTAATGCGGTCCCAAATGCCAAGGCCGACTGTATCGGGCCGTCCTTTTTTTTAAGCAAACGGGCAGAAGGCTCACTTGATCTTAATTGATACCCATGGACAGTTACATTGCACTCGCAAGTGCGTTACCTTTTAGAAAGGAATAAAAAGAATTGGTACGCTGTTTTGTTGAATGACTCTAAATCTAATTGGTTCGGTAAGTTCAGTGGGCAGCTCCACATAGTGGTGGTACTAGGCAAATTCTGCCTAAAGAAATGCTCAGTTGTGGAACGACGCCCGATGATGAAACAGCTGATGGAGTACGGAGCTGATCTCCATAAACAAACGTTGTTTTATAACCCCAGACTACAATTACAGACATTGATATAGTAATATATTTGTTAGTAACTACATATTATACGCAAATTATTTAATTCCATTCAACAGTTGAGTTTTACTGATAACCCTGTATTTGGCCTGTTTCGTTGTGTTTAGATAATAATTAACTAAGTACCAGATGTGTTTAAGATTATAATATTAATATTTATTTATCGGACGACACATTTCATTACAACATTTTGAGTTAATACCATCATAGTTTGGTGCTTTTAAACTAAAACGTTCACTAAGACTGTGATGAAGTGATATTTAAGACAATCGTAAATTAGGGAAAAAATGGAAGAGGACAAATAAGAAGATGGTAAAGAGGGCGACCTAAAGAGAAGTGGATAGAAGATACTGAAGCGTTAGCAGGAAGCGAATGGGGAAAGAAAGCCATGAATATGTGGAAAAAGCTGAAGGAGGCCTTTACCCATGAAAGGGTTCCAATCAATGGTACTGAAGGAAGTTTGGATAAAAAAATGTATATATATAACAAATCCTAATTTGTAAAGATTGGAAATAAACAGGCTTTATTATTATTAAATGATCTTTAAAGACTCTCTTAGACATAATCCTTAACAAAGTTTATAATATAATAATACCATTTTTATTAAACCATCTCTGAATCAAAAGTTGTTAGGGTCAAAAACATGTTTCTTATAAGTTAGTAACGAATCATTTTTGAAATACTTAAAATTTAGTAAAAATAAGACATTTCCATCCACAATTAATATGTGGATATTTAAAGAACTATTTCGAGTTCTAAGACTTGCAATTTTTTTTTAGTATTTCATAATCGTACAGCTAACATAGATTATATACAAAAAAATAAAAATTATACTGAACATAATATAGCCAATAATGGAATACATAATATATTCAAAAAAAGGTTCAAACATTTACGAGAGTAAATGAAGGATAAAATCACTAAAAATTATTAATACGTAATACCTAATTCGGCCGTGCTGTACCTATGTGTGATATAGGTCGTATTTGTGGGGTGTGCTCATGATGCAGGTGATTGAGCGCTATGGATATCAATACTTTCAAACTAATATTACGCTATCATAAAAATATTAATCAAATATTACATTCGAGTCTAGTTAATTTAACGAAACGTAAACAGTTATAAAATTGCATTAAAAAAAGTTGAAGGTAATTTCCTCAATGCCAGTCATTAGTTATTTTTACATCATGACTTTTCATATGAACATAAAAATGCACGCTTAAATAATTATATTTAATTTAACTGCCTTAACTGGTATTTACTTAATAAGAAAATTGGCTTTTTTGCGACCACATACGTCCCCTAAGTGCCTTACAATGTAACGAAGTTTTATTTTGATGTCAAAGGTATATGTTAGCAAGTGTGTTTAAGCTGTTAAAATAAATTGAATGGAAGATAACAAAATCTGTAATAAATTTTATTGCGGGTGATTATTATCAAATTGTTTCAAACTAAAAACCGAATTAACCTCAACTGTTAATTAAAACAAAATAAATCGACAAGCATGAAGAACATTAAATTGTTTATGTATAGAATACATTAATTTTGCTATAAATGTACACAATTCTTCTAACAAAAAATATTAATTGTTAGTCTGTATACTAATAATAAAGATAATAATATGATAATAAGCGTAATAAAGATGCAATATTTTTTACGCTTAGTGAAGTTAAAACCTTGATAGATAAGTACTTATATACTAAATATGATCAAACGACTAAGCGAGCCATATAATCTCAACAGCACAATCGATAAGAAAAAACATAATATTCACCTTGAAAATTTGAATACATCATAAGATACTTAATCTCGTCACAATTAAAACCGATAACAATGTCCTAAATTACCAGCCTATTTTCCATAGAAAAGTTCAAGTAGTTATTGCGACTCCTAAGTTTACTTGGTCAAGTCACAAATTGTAAAATTCTATTAGCGACAAGTTGGCGCTCATTTCTTGAATTAATTATTTGGCCTAGTAACTAATCTATATCTATAGACTTGTATTGAATACCTACTAACCCGAGATACCATTGAATTAAATATTCAGCTGGTGTTTTTACGACCTGACGTGACTCGAGGATCAAATCAATGCAAAATTTCATATTGTATTCATATTATATCTTCAAGATAAATTCAAAGATTTGTAGCAATAATATAGATTTATTTGAATTTTTAGAGTTTATCGCTTTTGTACACCTTAATCATCAAAGTCAAAGTCAAAAAATCAAATATTCATGTAGGTACACTTATGAACGTCAAAAAAGAAATATACATTAAATTCTTCTAATTTTACATTAACTGCCAGTTCTCAAATCAAGGGCGTCGAACGGAAGAGAAGAACTGGCATTAAACTCTCCGTCACTCTTTTTGGCGTTATGACTGGATATAGATTAACCTTGTTGTTTAGAAAAACAAGAGCCACGTTTATATTATTATATTATGTTATTATTATTATGAGCAAAATAGTTCAATAATAAAAATTAAGTAATAGGTACATAGTGCCCTACTTACTTATCTTAAATCAAAACTACCAAAACGTGAACCAGCTTTTATGAAATGAAAGAAAGATGTGGGACATAGATTTGCACCTTGCGAAACTCCTAGAAATACTTCAAATGAATGAAGTTCTTGACCCTGCCCCTCAAGACGTCATCTACATAAAATATAACTTGTTATTACTGAAGATACTATGGCATAACCAGAGGTTAAACCTTGGCCTGTGACAATATAGTCCTGTGTACAAAAAAACAATACGGACTTTGTATAATATTGTAAATAATCGCAAACATAATGCCGCTATAGCAAAAAAGGACAAGATAAATTACCTCATAACCTGCGGCAAAAACTGAGGTAATTTATGAATACAATAATCTTCAAAGAATAAAATGCACAATAGAAAAAAATAGCATGAATAATTATACAACGATAATTGTTAATAGATAGAGGCATTTACTATCATACTATCAGAATCGCATTAAGCTTTAACTAAACTCTTCTAACCTTTACAATAAGGTATTTTGCCGTTAAGATGCGAAATCGTGACTAAAATAAACTAACATTTATTACCATTTGCCAACCGATAAAATTATTGATTTACATTATTTTTAAATGAATATTAATTTTTCACGGTTTTGCAAAGGTCTAGTAGGTCAAGTTATTATTCAATTTACTTATAAACTGCATCTCTGACTTCTAGAATACCTGCAATTATATGATAATTGTTGTCCTAATGTTTATATTATACGAATATATAGAAACCGACATGTCTTAGACCCAAAAAGTCGACGCCGTGTGTCAGGCACTGGAGGCTGATCACCTACTTGCCTACTAGATTTAAGAATGATCAAGAAACAGATTCAGAAATCTGATGCCCAGACCTAAAGAGGTTGTAGCACAACTGATATATGTATTTTATTTTTTAAAAGAATAAAAAAGTATGTAAGACTAACAAGACACTATAGACGTGCAGGGCTATTTACAACATTTTGATGTAATTTAATCTAAGTTAAGAACAAGGCTATTATAGGCATAGGCAGACAATCGTAAATGTTTTTTAAAGACTCTCTTAGACATAATCCTTAACAAACTAGAATAATATTTTATAACAAACCCAGGCGACTGATAAATCAACTAGAATTAAGACGCACTAGATGTCCAGCCTTTTTTGTTTGTGTTTCCAAAACCTTTTCGATCACTTTTCTGTTATCTTTACGACGTTACATATAATAGAATCTCTCTACTCTTTATAATAATTATTATGCTTTTATTTTGTGGATAAAAGGTAAAACTTCTTTACCGAACTTTCATCACAAAACCGTAATTTAGAGATTTAAAATCTGCGACTTTAACTGCATCTAAAGCTTTCTAAATATAATTTAGCATTTATTAAAACTTTTATCATAGTAACAATTAAGTCTCTTCTATACTCTGACAGCTGATATTATTCAATCCTTGACCCTTCTCAAGGTTGCACCAACCAGTTCCACAGCACAATTTAACTGTTTATATTTCTCGGAACTTGCTATTACAACCAAACCATATGCACGGACTTATTTTAATACTTGTTTGTAGACAAGTAGTCATACACAAATTGTTACAATG